GTTGATATTCAGATTAAGAGAGAGAGGGGGAGAGGTCTCTTATACACATCTAGATGTGTATGGGGAGAGAGAGTTGTGGTATACCAAGGTTGCCTCGTTAAACAACCAGTACATCTGAGGCTCCATGAGCAAAGGTTTGGTTTAGGAGTAAGTTCACGACATCCACCGCAACTGGATCTAAAATTCAGAATCACAATCTCCCTCCACAGGTCCTGTTGATTTCTGTGTTCTCACGAATTGGAATCCATCTTCAGATAATGTTTCACAACCCTTCTTCCGAAGAGAGGACCTGTTGATTTCTGTATTCTCCTCACGAATTGGGGTCTCTCTCTGCCTGGGTTATTGCTCGCAATGAAATTCATGTACTCGATGCCACTGCTGTCTTCACCTGAATAAGACGCAGGGTCATTTTTAATTGCTGCATAGGGACTTAAAGTTGCCCCAAATACAGCTATAATGAGCAGGCGTTCTATTCAGGTGAAGATGGTCGGCTCCTTCTGGCTGGTGAGGGACCTTTTTTCACTGCCTCGTTTGGAATAATTCGGGATCTCTCTCTCTCTCTGCCTTGTTATTACTCGGGCTGAAATTCACTTCTTCCGTGGCACTGGATTTCTTCTGGCTGAGGGTCTTCTTTTCATTTGCCTCAGCTGGGATATGCCTCAAGGTCTGGCCCATACCAGTGCAGCCTTTCCTATTCTGACTGTCATTTGCTGGTGTACATCTTCTTCTTCTTCTTCTTTCCCTCTCTCTCCTCTAAAGTTCATTCATTTCTTTTTGCAATTGGACGGCATTGTGTTTCCTTGTGAATTGGTACTTCCAAATTGGCCAGGATCGTAACATATGGGCCTTATGGCACAAATGCACCAAAAATGGCTGCCACTGCCACCCTCCCACAACGACTCAGCAGTCCATGGCCGGGCAAAAGTGAGCATCGGAAAAACGACGTTCAGTAGTGGTGGCTTGAATGTGCCCGAGGAGTCCTTCCATTTCTCACAGTGGGCCTAATCAAAATGAGTTCATCGTGCCGGAGAAGCCCTTCAATTTCTTACAGTGCTTATGATAGGCCACTCTTAGTTGAACCTCGCCCTGGATGTGCTCGGCCACAGACTCCATGCAGTAAGTGAGCAAGCAACCTCATCACACGATCTTCATCCACTGTTCAGAGTTCCGCCCAATCGAAAGACGGAGCAAATGTGCCTTCTTTGACCCCTTCACTCCCCCCCCCCCCCCCCCCCCCCCCCCCCCCCCCCCCAACCCCTTCCCTTCTTTCCCTTTTCCCTCGATCATTTGGAACAACCATAGTGTCAGGCGCCTAAAAACACTAACCCCAAGTCAGGAAGCCTGCCGGCTCTGTGATGCCCCACTCACAAATGTGAATCATCCACAGGAGCTTGCACAGCTGTGCCAGAAAAACAGAACAAAAAAAAAGACAAAATTGGTATGAAAGCCAGTATCAGGACCACATCAGATCCAAGAACGACTACAGTGAACAAACGAGAACAAAACCTCTCACAAATAGAGACCAGATTCAGTGGAGGTAACTAACATCACTACAGTGATTGCAGCCCATCTATCTGACACCTGAATCAGATTCTCAAACGCGCATGAATCGGCAGATTCACCAAGCAAAGGTCATGTCTCAAAGGCAGGAGACACGTTTCCTAGTGAAAAGTCATATTGAAGAGTCACATCCCACGAGTAAAAGGCAGTATCACAGGCGAAAGTTGTGACCCACAGGCAGGAGCCACTGTCCACAGTCAAAAGTCATGTTCACAAGTGAAAGGTCATGACCCAAAGGCCCAAGCAGCAGCAGTCCAATGGAAATTCAGGAAGGAACCAGTCAGGACCCAAGAAACAGAGGCTGGCACGAGTTGAAGTGCAAACCAAGACTACAAAAGGACTGGCCAGCCTCACATTCGGGCAGATTGCTCATTCGCAAGAAGTGTGGAAGTGCTGGAGCACTTGTGCGCTGAAGTGAGGAGCAGAGCGCTGAGGCCAGACTGCTGCGCTAAGTGAGGAAGAGAGAGGAAGACAGTGCTGGCAGGGAGAAGGCAGCCATAGCTGCATCAGTGCAGAAGTGTTAGTACTAGCAGTTACTAGTAGATTTCAGAGGGATTAGTAGAGTTGTCAGTGGGTGTATTCAGAGTAGATCCTTGAATAGAAGTTAGCGAGTGTGCACGCATGTAGGGAGAGAAGATACAGCAAGGACATAGATAGGGAGAGGACCGGTGAAGAAGAAGAGATTCAGAGAGAGAAGAGCAGTGCGAAGGAGATACTTACCTGAGAGCTATGCCGGTTAATGGTTACCTTTTTGTATGCGCTGAAGAGCGCTGGTGACTTGAACTCTTTTTGCTCTTCTAATACTTCCTGGAAAGGATAAGTTGCGCTACCTCGTCTTCATCTCTCTGGTCTCCAGTGTGAATTTTGTGTATTCTCATACATGCATGTGGTGTGAATATGTGCGCTCACTGGTGATTAACTTGGAGGTTCATTGCACGCATGTGACAAACATACAAAGCAAATTCAGAAACACATTTTGGCTAAAGATCCCGCTAAACAGATCGACAACCCCAAGTGTACTTTGCAAGGCAACCTTGTCACTAACATGCATGATAGTAACATCCTACCTATACATACATAGTCACACATCCATGAACTAAAAGAGCGCACTTTGTGAAACAAACACTCAAAACGATTATTAAAAAATATATTAAAAAAAACATCATGAGGGGCTCTCACTTCCATCTTCCACAGAGCACAGTGAAGTCGACTTAGAGAGTTCCGCTGACTTGCAATGCCTTGCAGTGCGATTTTTCATGGGTAAGGCAAAAACTCGTTTGTGCATATACGTGAACTCACCAGTCACAATTCGAGAGAGCAATGGCCATGGAGCTTAGCAACATCATCGCCTCGTGCATATCCGTTGCACACTCGTTCGCATTCATTGGGACCACAACCTGAACGCAACGGAACCACGCAAAGCCGAACAGGACAGGACAGTTCCAGACACAGTTTCAATTCAAATTACTTGTCTAGTTTCAATTCAAATCATTTCACAGTATTGGCCTATTTAAAGGCTATTTTAGCATTTTCCATCCTATAAGGCTGCTTCCAGGGAAATCAGTCACCAGATGGGGAAAGGGTATTGACGCAAAAAGTATGTGCAATGCGGACAGTCGATCCTCCACTTTGGTGACGGCGGTTGTGGTAACTTTGCCCAGAGCAATGGCAGGAAGTTACCGCGTGAAGTTCTTTCTCACCAGAGTGACATGTTGATGCCTGCCTACCGCCTTCACCCGAATAGAACGCCTGGTCATTATAGATATATCTGGACTGGAAATTGCACCAAATACGGCTATAATGACCGGGCGGTCTATTCCGGTGAGGACGGTAGCCTGCACGAAGAAGAAAGGTGGTTAACATTGAACTGCATGGAAACAATGGACAAGTCGTTACTCCTCTGATGGACCGACAATCGAACCATGTGAAATCACGGTAGAAGACATGGAGGACAACGCAATACTACAATCTAACAACATCGTATCATGGCCCTTTAAGCCGAAAAAAAGTTGGAAGATGGCCCAAGGGGATGGCTTGCACGGCACTCGAGCTACCGGTGAGATGACAGCGAGCCAATTTTCCCCGCTCCGTACTGAGTCTGTCATCCCTGGAGTCTCGCCTTCGGCAGTCTGGATGCTCAAAGGGAAGGAAATGGCCTTTATCTGAATTCGAGGGATATGGGTGCTTGAATTCCACAAGGCAAGCGTTCCTTGCCCATTAATCCTCATTAAATCAGGCACTATGTATGTATAAGTATTGGAGATGAGAAACAGTTTCTTAGACAGTGCGTGGTCGGACTCGATTGATGTAAATCCAGGTTTTGTCCTGGCCTACTGAATTCTGGGTTCGATTAGCTTTGTAGATCAATCAACTGAACAATCTTGGTTTATGGATTAGACTCAATTAGTTGACTCGTTGTTTGGTTGAGAGAGAGGAGAGACTTTTGAATCCCGGTAGTGGCATAGTTTATGCAGTTCTGGGTAAGATTTCTAGATCAGTAGATTGGTTGATTAATTGTTGCTTAGAGTAGATGATATTCAAATTGTGTGTGTGAGAGAGGGAGAGAGAGTGTGTTTAAAATTCTAGTTTTGTCCAAGTCTATTAGGTTTTGGGTTATATTTCATAGATCAGTGACTTGATTGATCAATCATTGATTAGCTTAGTTGATATTCAGATTAAGAGAGAGAGGGGGAGAGAGAGAGAGGSGGRRAGAGAGAGAGAAAGAGAGGGTACCCACGTACGATTGCAGCCCAATGTGGTATGGTTTGTGATTCCCTGTTAAAGAAAAAGGAGGAATGATAGACGATGAGAGGAAAAGAGGTAGGGAGGGAGGGGTTAGAGTAGGGGACGGTCAGATCGGTAGAGGAGGTGAAGAGATTTATTGACGATGAGCTGTCCATGAACGCAGGGTAAACGGACTAATCAATACGCAATGAAAGGACTGATGACGACAAGGACAATTTAGAACCGGCAATGACCCAGCATTGAATGGGCTGTAACTAAAGGCAAGCGAACAGACTTTCCAGCAATGTATCAGACAGTGAACTATCAACGAGCAAGAATGCATGGATAATGCAATCACAATTATACGAGCGGGAAATGACAGCCTGGTGAAGATGATGACAGCAATTGCGGGATGCAGTGGATGCTCAAATTGAGAGAGATTGACGAATGCTTCTGGTTGTCGTCATCACCATGATCTTTATCATCAGAATTCAATACAAGATTCACAAGATTCAGTGGAATTGTTGCCGATACTCGGCAGAGTAGTGACTAGAGCAGAACAAGTAGGCCGATGAGACTGCCGCCCCGGGCAGCAGTAACCAGGGCACAGGGGTACCAGGTCAACCCGTCTCTGTGGAGGCCCACGGAGCAGCATTTCGCAGGGCCGCTTATAGATAGCAGTAGACGACATAAGATCAGGAGCTGACACTTGCTAGAAGTGCTTTTGAGGCAGAGCTCACTCACCAAGAACTCCCTAACCCCAAACCAAAGCTGCAAGTAGTGCAGATCCGTGCCCCACTCATCAACAGTATCTGTAACACAGAGCCACCAACATCGGAGATCAACCACGAGGGAATGAGTCATAACCTGCTGCATGCTTGTTCTTGTTAATAACAATGGCCACCTAGAACTGACCCCATCTCCTTCCTCACCAACCACAACACCCCCCTTTTCTCCCCACACTCCAAGGCTATCGAGGAATAATGCAGGCAAACAAGAGAGAAGAAGAGGAAAAATTGGGAGAAGAGACAGAGAGAGAGACAGAGAGAGAGAGAAAGAGAGAGAGAGAGAGACAGAGAGAGAGAGAGAGAGAAGAAGATAGAGACTGAAGAAAGAATCAAAAACAAGAAAAGGCAGACGAAGAGCGAGAGAGAAGAGGCTAGAGACTGAAGAAAGAATCAAAAACAAGAAAAGGCCGAAGAGGAGCAACATCCAACGGAAGGAAAGAGGGAGACAACAAGCTAATAGGGCATAGTGCGGGAAAAGAAAACTAAATAAAAACGTCCGAGAAAACACAAGAGGAGAAAAAAAGACCGGGATAGGAAAGGGGGCGAAAAGGAAAGTGAAACACTGGAGAACAGGGGGACAACAAGAGAAATGAGAAACATAAAGAACTGGGACAAAACAAGTGACGGGAGAGAGAAAGTTAAGAAGCAAGTCATAGCGCACCTTCCTCAGCGCGCGCACCGCGCACGGCGGACCGCACTGCGCACAGTGCTCGCGCTGTCATTCGAGCGCACAGCGCAGTGCGCACCGCCCCGCACCACACTGCGCACTCGTGCGCCACGACTATGGTGCCTTCTAACCGAATACAATGCACATGCGTTCTATTTGAATAGCCCTAATTTTTTAATACAACGCCTGTGCATTCTATTCAAATTTTTTGATTTTTTTGAAAACTCGAATCCAACAAATGTGCATTATGTTCAGGGGACCAAGGTCGCAGTCACAAGTGTGTACAATTCTGCCACACACACATGTGACTGCGACCTTGGTCCCCTGAACATAATGCACATTTGTTGGATTCGAGTTTTCAAAAAAATCAAAAAATTTGCATAGAACGCACAGGCGTTGTATTCAAAAATTAGGGCTATTCAAATAGAACGCATGTGCATTGTATTCGATTAGAAGGCACCATAGTCGTGGCGCACGAGTGCGCAGTGTGGTGCTGGGCGGTGCGCTCGAATGACAGCGCGCGCACTGTGCGCAGTGCGGTCCGCCGTGCACGGTGCGCGCGCTGAGTAAGGTGCGCTATGTGCGCAATAGAAAAAAAAGGAAAGAAAAGAAAAAGGAAAAAAAAAGATAAGGCAGAGAGAGAGAGAGAGAGAGAGAGAGAGAGAGAGAAAAGGATCCCCTTTATGTCAATTCGAGAGCCCCTGCAGGTACCACGAATGGCTCCTACAACGCATGGGGAGCTATTGAGGGCTGCTGCTTCACCTAGAAGGATGGCCTCGTCATGCACGAAAGACACGGGGGCAGACCACCAATATATGCTGTGGTTTCGAGTTCACGGCTGTAGCTCAGCAGTTATGGGTCACCAGTTCAGCTAGACCCTGTTCGTGTCTCCACGTGATTCTCAGGGTCTCCCTCCACCACTCACCAAATGTATATAATATTAGTAGAATGAATCTTCTGCTAAAACATGGAACCATATACCGCCATATGCGCTGTCTTTTGTGCATTTGGTGAGTAGTGGAGCAGGCCCCACTGGACGTCTTCGTAAGAAAACAAAAACAAGAAAACGAGAGAGCCACGGGCCTCTTCCTCCTAACCCATAACTGCCGACATGCAGACCTGAACGCCAATCTTCAGCATATATTGGTGGTCGGCTGGCCACAGAAAATGTAACTGGTGATCTCTGCGAAGATTCGCGGGGCCGGTCGTTATCAGGCAACTGCCCCTTTTTGCGAACTTACCCCACCACTGTGTGGGATTTGCAGAAGGGAGCGGGGAGAACATCTTTCATACCCCGCCTAAAAAAAAAGATGGAATGAGCCCTATTTTTGAAGTACTTTATGCTTCGCCATTCTGGAACTTTTGGGGGAAGGGCCTGCGGAAATGGAAATTTGGCAGCCCTTACCCAAAAGAAAATTTTGAGCTTGGGGTGCGGCCGGTTTCTGAGCTCGCGCGGTGCGTTTGACATTTTGCCGAGTTGGGGGCCCTAAGAAATAACAAAACACCTACTCTCTTTTTTTTTTTTTTTGTGGACCTAATTTTTCCAGTGCGCTGCGCGCATTGCGCAATTCGTGCACAAATCCGCGCACCGAGGTGCGCCGCAACTATGGAAGGCACCCTAGGCGTTGTATTCGTCTACAATGCATGCATACGTCTTATGTTCGGGGGAAGAAGGTAGTAAACAGATCAGGGGCTCCGAATCCTGCTGGAAGCAGGTGAAGACAATAGAATTAGGGGCTGCGCCCGTGAAGGGATCCTTTTTTAACTTTTTTTAAGCAACCCATATCCCACTCTGAAACGCCTTAATGGACATGCCGCTCGTCAAAACGTCCTCCTGAACATGCTCATCATGTCATCATCTCAGGAAAGACAATCGCTACATTCAGAAAGCAAGACATCTCAGATGCATCTGCCCAAAAGGAAGCATTCGAAATGCATTTTTTTGTCAAAAGGGCACCTTTTCAAATGGGTTTCTTCAACAACAGAAATCTATTGACATGAAGCCCTTGCTGATTGAGGCGAACACAAAAAGAGGTGATCGCCGATTGTGTTTTTCAATAACAACAAGGGCACCTGTTGCGGCTTCGCCCGCAAAAAAGAAGGGGGTTCCATAAAAGTGTCGGGCTGGGGGTCGACGATCGGAGTGGGTATGGGAGGTGGGTGTGAGTGAGTGTGAG